TGAACTTACCAAAGCAGCCCTCAGTCCCTGTTACAGGGCGTGTATGGCAGACCCCACTCTCTACCCTGAGCTTTCCAGCCCAGCTGGCCTTCCTCTCCCTCAGAGGCTTCTCTCTATATAATCCAGACACTGTTATTTCTCCCTCCCTGTTTGTACACTCTCTCTTTCTCTCTTTGGCCCCCTTCTGTCTCTCTGTCTGCCTGGAAGTTCCCCTGATCTCATTCTCTGGGACAAGTGAATCTGCCTGAGAGCAGCCCCCAAATAAACCTGCTTTTATACTTTTAAATGGGCTTGAATTGGCTTTTTTTGTTGTTGTTGGCAGAGAAAACCTACTAATGGCCACAGGGGCCACATATAATTAAAAATTATGTGGTACATGCCTTAAATCTCCGCACTCAGGAGGCAACGGCAAGTGGATTTCTGTGAGGTGCAGGCCAGCCTGGTCTACAGAATTCCACGACAGCCAGGGCTACTCAGAGAAACCCTATCACAAATATAATTTAGAAATTAAAATTTTAGGGTTTCGAGGTCAAGAGCACTGGAATGCTGGCCCTGACACTCCTCTGCCTCGAGGGGGCGCAGGCGCAGAGGTGGGGCTCTGTGTCTGTCCCTCACCCTGACACCTGCAGCACTCAGAAGAGGAGGCCAAGTACCTTGCCTGGACAGACCGCCCTGTGGAGGGGGCACAGGAAAGCCGGCCCTGCGGGCACGGGTGTGGGAGAGGGGCCTCACCCCTTGTCTGCTGCGAGGTGGAGATGGGGCAGGGTGATGGCCCCCTTCAACCCTTGTCACCTTCTGTAGTCAGGTGACGCCTTGACTGGGCAGCACGATGGGGCTGACTCTGGAGGTGTGGGTGCAGGTGAGCCAGACTTGAGGGCATGAGACTGAAGAGCTGCCCCCGCCTCCTGCCAATGGCAGCACTGAGTAGGCCAGCGGAGCAGCGCTGGAGAGCTCGCTCAGGTGGTGCAGGCAAGAGAGAGCCTGTGCCCTGACCAGCTCAGCTGCCATCCACAACTGAAGGATCTCCGTGACACAGGCCAACAGGATAACCGGAAGGAGTCCCCGTGAGGATCCAGCAGTGACTGTGTCATGGAACCAGAGACCTCAAAGCAGACCAATGACACAGTGCAATAAACACTTGCAAGTGAAGATGTGTGGACAGCTGTGGGACATGCTGTGACACTATGCAGCCTCCAAGAGGAGGAATTTTCTATGCTTTGTTTTTTGTTTGTGTCTCTTTTATTTGGAAGGGTGGAGGGCAGACACAGGGGACAGGGGAATGAGTGGGACTGGTGTGCCTGATGTGAAACTCACAAAGAATCAACAAAAAGCTTAAAAAAAAAAAAAAAAAGACAAAATAAGATCCTGGGGCTAGAAAGATGGGTCAGTGGTGACAGGCACTGACTGCCCTTCCAGAAGACCTGGGTTCAATCCCCAGCACCCGCATGGCAGCTCACAGCTGTCCATAACTTCAGTCCCAGGGATCTGACACCCTCACACAGACATACACACAGGCAAAACACCAATGCATATAAAATAAAAATAAACTGTCTTAAAACATTTTTTAGCCAGGCGATGGTGGTGCATGCCTTTAATTCCAGCATTCAGGAGGCAGAAGTAGGTGGATCTCCGAGTTTAAGGCCATGTGGTCTACAGAGGGAGTTCCAGGACAGCCAAGGATACACAGAGAAACTCTGTCAATCTTGAAAAATCAAATAAATAATAAAAGATAAAATAATTAAATTTTTATGATACATTGTTGGAAACATCAGGTCGCCAGGGTTTCTACAGACAGAACTGCTACAGGCCCGAGGCTGGCAATACTCAGAGCTCTTTTGTTGGTTGGAAACTAAAAATTTGTACATCTCAAAAGATTCACCAGGCGAGGTGGCACACACCTGTAAGTCCCAGCATTCAGATAGGAGGCAGGCGGAACTCTTGTGAGTTCAAGACCAGCCTGGTCTACAAAGCAAGTCTAGGACAGCCATGGCTACACAAAGAAACCCTGTCTCAAACAAACAAACAAACAAAACAACAACAACAAAAACCCTAAAAATATGACATCATATAAAGAGGACAATAAATGGTAATGCAGAGGCCAAAGATGCCCCCGGATGATGCGGCTCTAGACTTAGAGCATTCCAATCTTACACCACGGAAGTTCTGAACACTTAATCAGCCTCAAACAAGGTGTGGTTCCTTTTAGGATCATAGCTGTGCTGCAAGTTTCTACCCTGACTGCATCATCAGTTGCAGTCCTGAAGAATGAGGGAGTCACTGGTGTCAACGAACGGATAGTCAGAGCTGAACCACCCCAGGCACGGTCGGTCATGGCCACTGACCTCATCTAGCCTGAGGTGAGAAGTCCCATACTGCTTGTAAAGTGTGCTCACCCTGTGTAGCACCTAGCCCCACTCCACCCTCTAGCCTAGCACCCTTCCATGGCTCCCCATTTCTTATATAAAGCCCAATCCCTTTCCAGGTTCCACTAGGGCTGGACTCCACTGCCAGATGCAGCTCTTTAAAAAAACACCCTAGCTAGGCCCTGTGGCGCATGCCAGTAATCCTAGCATTCAGGGAAGCAGAGGCAGGCAGATCTCTGTGGGTTTGAGGCCGGCCTGGTCTACAAAGCTAGTCCAGCACAGCCAAGGCTACACAGAGAACCCATGTCTCAGAAAACAAAAACAAAAAAGCATACACCCCACTTTCCAGACAAGAATGATTCACTACTCTTTACGTCACTACAACTTTGAACTTGTCAAACCAGGCTGGTTTTTGAATTCACAGAAATCTGCCTGCCTCTGTCTCCTGAGCGCTCAGATCAAAGGTGTGTGCCATGCTCTGCATAAATTCTTCCTTACCTTCCTTTCTCCAGGAACCTACAGTGATCTCCTCAGTGATACGATTACAGGCATGAGCGCCATGCCCAGTTTGTGGCCCAGTTTTCAAAAGCCTTGTTTTCCATTGCCTTTCACAGAGGTTTGAACAGCAGGCTCTGGGGTGTACTCCATGCCTGTAATTATAGTTCTCTCACTTGGGAAGGTGGGGCAGGAAAGTCATCACGAACTTCTTCCTTTTTGTTTGCTAAGACTTGATCTTTCGATATAGGCCGTGTAGGCTAGCTTCAAACTCCTGGCAAGCCTTCTGCGTTAGTCTTCAGTGCTTAGATTACAGGCCACCACAACTAGTTTGGTTTTGATTTATATGTAACTCTGAGTGGCCTGGAACTCAGAGACTTGCCTGCCTCTCCATTCCGGAGTGTTGGGATTAAAGGTGTGTAACACCAGGAATGGAGAGGTGGCTCAGAGGTTAAGAGCACTGGTTGCTCTTCCAGAAGTCCTGAGTTCAGTTCCTAACAACCACCTATAATAAGATCTGGTGCCCTCTTCAGGCGGGCAGAACACTATATGCACAATTAAATAAATCTTTAAGAAAGAACCATGCCCAGTTTATTTATTTATTTATTTGAAACAGGTCTTACCATAAAAGCAACCTAGACTGGCCTCAAACTGCTGACCCTCCTATGCCCACATCCTGAGTGCTTACATTTATAGTTCTATACCACCATCTGATTCCTGCTTTATGGAGCACAAAGGTAGCAACGTTAGTCTGAATGAAAGAAAAAAGTTTTCTGTCCTCAAGTAAAGGATTGGTGGTTTTGAGCAATTTGAACGACATCCAAGTTCCTGAGGACAATTTAGAAAGCCTTATTATTATTATTTGTTAGGAAACGTGGGAATGTGAAGGTTACACGAGGGTTCACAAATCACACCACGAGATCGGTTCCACATGGGAGGCTTATTAGGGGAAGTGGGGAGAGGGGAGGAGAGAAAGAGTAAGAGAGTAAGGAAGAGGAAAAGGAAGAGAGAGCGGAAGGGGAGGGCTCCAGTTCTCTTATAGGTAGTTCCAGGTGGTCAGGGTGTCTTCACAAATGCCTGATAACCGGTTAGGTCCCTTGGAGCTGGCCGTAGAAGTGCCCAACATTATTCTTTTGTGGTTTTTCCAGACAGGGTTCTATAGCCTTGGCTGTCCTGGATGGCCTTACAGTGATCCACCTGCCTCTGCCTCCCTGAGTGCCTGGATTACAGGCATGTGCCACTACACCAGCTAGAAAGCCATTTTCATCGCAGTGCTCTGGCAGAGCTAATGGAAGCACAGGGTTAGTATACGGCCACTAAAGCTGGCGTACAATAAGGTAACCAAAAGTAAGAAAAGTACAGGCAGGCAAAGAGCAGATCCCCTTCAGTGTGCACTAGCCAAACCAGCGTACCAGGAGCGGTCCCACTGGGGAGTTGTTTTTTCAACCTGTAATTCATAAACAACAGAATTATAATTTTATTTCCTATTAAATTGTCCACTGTCCTTCATTTTTAGATCTTTGCCCTACAACTCCCTTAAAATTATTTACTGAGATCTGGGTGGTAGTAGTTTTTTCTCCAAAAACCAATAAAAATAATCATTTGCTGAGTAAGGAGGCAACAGCCTATACTATAGATATAGCTTATAATATATAACTTATGTATTATACTACAGTAGGTCCAGCTACTGAAGGCAGAGGTGCTAAGACAACTGTTTCAGCACAGTAAGTCCGGACAGCCTGTGCAGCCCTGGCTGTCCTGGACCTTGCTCTGTAGACCCAGACTAGTACCCTGGATCTGCCTTTCTCTGCTTCCCTAGTGCTGGGATTAAAGGTTCGCACCACCTCTCCCAACCCCGCTTCTTTTGATTTTAATTTAGCTGGGAGTGATAGTATATGTCTTTAATCTCTGTATCAGGGAGGAAGGGGCAGTCCGAGCTCTGTGAGTTCAATGCTAGCCTATCCTACATATTTCTACGCCAGCTGAGGTTACACAGTGACAAACTGCCCCCAACACCCCCCCCCCGCCAAACACCCCAAAAAAGTAATTCTGGAATTCCCAAACACAGAGTTGAAGATTGCTAAATACCTAGGAACCTTAGAATGTCCTGTTAAGTATGTTGAAGGACTCAGGAGAAAAAGCTTGACAATCACAGCGATGTATTGTGCACTGATTTGAAAAAGAGTGAGGGGCACTGGCTGGGGTGATGGGAGAAACGACCCCAAAACGTGTCAGAAGATAGGCTGCAGACTAAACCTGCTCAAAAGTAGTATTAGAAGGGAGAAAAAGAAGCCGGGCGCCGTGGAACACGCCTATAGTTCCAGCACTCTGGGAGGCAGAGACAGACGGATCTCCGTGAGTTCAAGGCCAGCCTGGTCTACAAGGCTAGTCCAGGACAGCCAAGGCTACACAGAGAAAAACACCAAAAAAGGGAGAAAAAGCATGAAGTAGGCAAGAATGAGGTCCTGGTTCCTGTCCCGCAGAAACGAGAAACGCTAATTTCCGGGGCCGAGAAGGTGAGAGGCTCGAAACTGCAGTGAGACTGGAGCCAGGAAGCTCCAGAGGAGCGACCGGCTGAGGCCGAGCGAGCTCCTGAAACAAAGGCCACCCTCGCTTCCGGTTCCGGGACGTCCAGCCCCAACCGTAGGCCCACTGTCCCGCCTCTAATTCTCAGCGGAGCCTGACTCTTCCGGCATCCGGCCCGCTAGGCTTGCTGGAAGCGGAAGCCCGCCTCCAGCGCAGAGCACCTCGGGAGTTGTAGTTTGTTTTGGGGGCGTGGTCAAAATCCGAGGAAAGTCCGGAAGTGGGTCATTTGAAACGAAGGTCGAGAAAGCGGTGGTGATCCCGGGGCACGGTGCCCCTCCGCCGGCGGCATGGTGCGCCTCGGGCCGCATCCCCTCTCCGTAGAGCGTGGCACTTCCATGCCTCCACAATTTGCTCAACCTATAGGGGAAAGAGGAGTGTGGGCGTTAACCACACAACCGGAAGTCCCTGGCCATAGTGCCCATCCCCTCGTCCCCACGTGGTACAGTGGATCGAAGCTTGGTTACTTCGGTACACACCGGGATGAGCGGCTCCCGCCGGTTCTCCTCTTCCAGTGCGCTTAGCTCCGCCGGGGCCAGCAAAGCCAGCCTCAGCTCTCGAACCACTGGAGCCGCCACCTCGGCCACCGGTTGCTCCAACACAGCCTGTGGAAGTGAGCCTTGAGCCTGTGCCCCGCCGCCCCCTTGCCGAGTGCCTGCGGTCCTTACCGCTTCAGCGTCCTTGCCCTCCCCCAGACCCCACTCACGGCGCCCACGCGCGCCCAGCTTCGGGCTGCCTGGACCAGCTCAGCCTCGTCCACGCAGAGCTTGTCACTGCGTAACACGGGCAGCAGGGCGGTGGCGGACAGTTCCAGGAAGCCCCGGGTGCGGAGCGCCTCCTATGGGCCGGTGTATCGGTCAGGGCGGAGAAGAATGGCATGGGGGAGGCAGGTTACCAGTGTCAGGATGGGGAGCTGTACCTGGCTGTGAGTCTCTATGAAGGCTATGCACCGCTCCTGCAGTGGCCCCAGGCCAAAGGTTACAGCAGCCTGAGAGCAGAGCAAAGGTGGTCAGGCTGGACACTAAAGAGGCAGTGTAACCCAGATCTGCACACAAGCCTGAGCGTAATCCATACAGGGGAGGCTAACAGCACCTGCAGTATCTCATGAAATTAGACCTGGGGAAAGCACAGACCTGAACACCAACCAGATTCAGATCCCTGAAATCCCATCTTTGAGTTCAAGCTTGGCTTCTAAACGCCATGTCCCACCTTCTCCTATCCCTGTTTAGAACCATTACCCACTTTTTGTTTTTCTTCCAAAAACAGGGTTTCTCCGTGTAGCCCTGGGGGTCCTGAAACTTCCTCTGTAGTCTAGGAGGGCCTTAAACTCAGAGGTCCTCCTGCTTCTGCCTCCAAAGTGCTGGGATTAAAGGCATGCACCACCATCTCCTGGCTCCATTTCCCACTCTTAATAGATCACTGTGTAGCCCTGGCTGGCCTCGAACTCTCATCTGGCTGCTTACGCTCCCACAGTACTGGGATTAAAGGCCCCATGTCACCATTCCTCCCTTTCCCAGCTCTTTGACTCTTCCTCCTACGTATGACCTTACTGATAGGCTCCACATCCCACAGATCTGGGCACAGGGTTTATCTCATGAGCACCCTTGAGCACCCATGCCCTCACATCGTTCCTTAGCAGATGTAGCAGTCAGGGCTTCTGATACAAGGAGGCCAGGAACACATTCTAAAAGTGAGATTCCTCCCCGGGGCTGCTCCAAAATACCCACCTGCAGAGCCTCACAAACCAGCTCCACATCCAGCACCTTCACCACAAACTCCAGGCATAGCTGGGGACAGAAATGAAAGTGACCGACCGGCGTGCCAGTGTCCCTGTGTCAAGACCCCAAGTCCCACCCTAGAAGCATCAAGTAGCAACGAGTCATTCAGATTTCCAGGAGCCCCAGAGCCATCTTGACCTCCCAGATTTGGCAGATAGATGGAATTGTTCGGACCTGCAGTTTAGCAAGCCCAGAAGGCATGGAGGCTAGCAGAGAAGAGTGGCCAGAGCACAGTTCTGGGGCACTTGTCCCTGGTAAGACCCATCCAGAAGTTCCGCTCTCCTCTTCCCTCACTCTCTTCCCCCACTTGTTCCCTTCCTTGACTCAATGACACTTCTATTTTTAACAGAAACTTAAAATTTCATGCTTGACATCTCCCTCTCAGAAAAGTGCTGGGTGGTGACAGCCGTCTCTTCTCAGCCACCCGCCTCTCGGACTGCCATTTCCCTGTTGGCCACACCCTCTTGACTTCTTCACTAATCTGACTGGCCTGACAGGCTTTCCCTTTCCTGTCAGTCCCTTTCCCCCTTAGCTCCCTTGCCCGGAATTTTCAGTGAATCTCCACTACCCTTGAATTAAAAGGAGTCCAGGAGAGGAAGAGTTGAGACAGGGTCTTGCTGGGTAGTTTTGGCTGGCTTAGAACTCACTCTGTAGACCAAGTTAGCCATGAGCTTGGAATTTTCCTCCTCACCACACCTGGCTAGTGCTGGGAATTGAACCCAGGGCCCATAGCATGCTTTGTCAGTGCTCTACCGCTGAACTACACTCACAGCCTCAAGGCCAACTTTTTTTTTTTTTTTCCAGAGCTGAGGACCAAACCCAGGACCTTGCACTTGCTAGGCACAGGCTTTACCACCACTGAGCTAAATCCCCAACCCCAAGGCCAAATTCTTAAAGCACCTGTGTGAAGCAGCTTTCTGATGCCCTTTTCAGCTCACCCCACACCCACATTCCCAGGCCACCGCGTATCTAACCAGCTCCTTGAGTGCTCTGTGATTACGCCATCTTCCCACTCCTGAACAAAACCCCGCTGTTCTTCCAGCTCTGAAACAAGAGTTTCCTTCTCCAGGAATCTCTCTCCGCACATCAGCAGCTTCCCTATCACACTTAGAAACCTACTTTTAAGTTTAGCTTTTTGAGACTAAGGCTCACTCTGAGCCCGGGCTAGCCTGGAACTCCTGAAACACGCCAGCCTCCCCAGCCTTCAGAGTGCTGTGAGTGCTAGCCTAACGCACTAGGCTAGCTTGTGTCACTCCTTGCGTCTCTCTCTTTCCATTCCAATCACCTGCCAAAGCCAGTTTACCCTTGTACTAAAACTAGCCATGAATACGTTCTGTGCTCACCCAGCACACACTGAGCATGTGCAGATCCTGGGCACACAGAGAGCTATCACACTTGTCTCTGTGTGAGAAGGTCAGGCTGTGTGAAGGGCACTATGAACTGAAAGGCAAGAGACACCAAACAGCCGGGCTGAGACACCCACCTCTCTGAGTTCCTCCAGTCCGTATTCCACAGCTGCTGTCAGCACCTCCAGCACCTGTGGGGGGATGGTGAGGGAGCAGAGGGAGTTTCCCCTGCCCCTCAACCCACAGCATAATGAGCAGATGCCTGCCTCTGCCCCCCCCCCCCCCGCCTCTTTCCCACCCGACCCCAGCTTGGCGGGCTCACAGAGTGTCGGTGCAGCTTGACGCTGTTGGTGTACAGGAACTCCAGCACGGCTAAGAAGGCCTCCGCCGGCACAGTGCTCAGCACCACGGGACTAGGCACCCCGGGGCCCAGAAGTCTCTGGAAGTAGTTGCATCTACAAGCCAACAAGCACCGGTGGGCAAATACCTCTTGGCGTTCTTGACCAACCACAAAGCAAACATCACTGTGGGAGAGAGGGCCAAGAGCCAGGGAGTCTGAGAGCTAGATTGCACTTTTGCTTTTGCCTCTGCCACACTGGGCTTAGCTTCTTTTTATGTAAGGTCAAAGCCTGGGAGACACAAGCCCGAACACTAGTCTCTGTTCCATCCTGTGACTTTCTATCTTTGACTCTTAGACTTCTCAGCCATGACTGCAGGTCTCAGGGGAGTTGACTGTGATTGGCCAAAAAGGGGATACCAGGGTTCAGGCAAGCAAGAGTGATGTCTCCCCAGACTGAGTCTTTGGGGGGGGGGGAAGAAACTCCTCTCCCTCTCGGGACTTCTCCACGAGACGCCAACTCAGCATTTTCACCCTTCCTCCCGTAGGAGGGTGAGGATGTGGGGTACAGAGTGCAAACAGACATGGCAATGATGCGCCATCATGAGGTGAGACCACATTTTCCATCTTCATAGTCACTTCCGGCCCCAGCCCCTGGGCCTCTGGGCCTCCTGTGCATAAGGTAGAGGGGGTAGGAGGCAGCAGAGGAAAACCTCAGCTCCCAAAGCCTCCTGCTCCCAGGCTCAGGCCTAAGCTTCTACTCTTCAGGCCAGACTGTGACACCCCCCCCCCAAAAAAAAAAAAGAGAATGATGACAGTTGCTAACCCCAGGGGGAACAGAGCGGCTTCTGCGACAGTGGGAAAGGGAAGCAGCCTTCTGTCTCCCATGACCAGCCCTGCCCCCAGTAAACTCTATTCCTGCTTTCAGACAGCCCCAGCCTCTTAGGCAAGCAGTGGGCGGTCAGAAACCTTGAACTACTTCCTGTCTGGGTCTCCAGTTCAATCCTTTGTGCTTCGTTCCTCTTATGATTCCCTAGAGTCATCTGCTCCTCTGTCAAGGAAAGAAGTCCAGCCCTTACGTGAATGCCAAACGAGAGCGAGTCAAGTCCTAGCCCACCTTTCAGGGCTGAGGGGGCAAAGGATTTCTTCCTCAAGCCAGAGACTAAAGGGCTTTGCCTGAGTTCACACAACTGCCCTCCCACCTACCCCCCCCAACACTACCCCGACCCCTGCCTCTCAGGGGATAGCATGGACACAGGCCAGTAGATTTCCTCTGTACTTGACTTCCTCACAGACTGAGTTTACCAGGGAGGCCAAGTGCCCTTTCCCAGCCTCTTCACCCATAGCCTCCTCAAATGCAGAGGCCCCTGAGAGCCAGCTAGGGAAAACCCACCAGGGGGCCACTGCCTCACCTGTACAGGGGGTTGTTGACAAGGCTTCGAAGTGCTGTGGAAAAGGGTGCATTCTGCCCATGCAGCACCAATCCTGGGTTCTCCATATGTGGGATAGGCAGCAGGTCAGAGGGTGGACCGGCCTAGGAGGCCCAGCCAGGCCAAGAGCACATGAGGCCAGAGAAGCCTGGGAGGGAGGGCAGGAGCTGTGGATGTCTGTTTGCTGAGGAAGTAAAGTTTAGGAGAAAAGAGGCCCAGGTCCCTAAAGAAGGCCTGACATTCAGAAAAGGGGTGCCGATGCAGAGGGGACCCAGAGAAGCTGGGTCTGGAAAGGCCTACGGTCCCTAGAGAAAGTGGTGGTGGATGAGGCCCAGGTTGGGTGTCTGCCCAGCAGCGGCTGGGTGGGAAGCCTGTGGGTTTCCATGGAAACTGGAGCTGGGCCTGAAGAGGCCCCGCCCATCTCACTATATGCCCAGTTAAGAACTGAGCAGTAGCAAGGCCCTAAGAACTGGTGCTGGCTCCTGCCCACACTGGCTTCAGGATCCAAGGCCTCTGTTTTCCTAACCCCTTCGCTACTGGTTCTGTTTAGAGCCAGGAAGGCCAGGCCTGAGATATCTCCTTATCAGGAAAAACTCTCACCCCTGAAAGCATGGTTTTCAGGGCTCAGACTTAGTTTGTCCGGGAGGGGGCAGCCCCCTGCCTCCCAGAGTAGGGGAGGGGAGGTGTCAGTTCTAACAGGAGGAGCCCAGCCTCTGGTACCCCTGAAAAGCAGTCATCCCTAGGGAGAGAGGTACTACAATGTATAAGACCTGAGCAGGTCAGCAAAGGTCAAGAGACCGGACTTAAATTCACTGAGTCATGGCTATGCCAGGCCTGAGTTTTTCCTGCTGAGCCAATAAGACCTCATCTCAGCACACAGCTCTGAACCAAGGAAGTCATCCAAGCCCCACCCTAGCTCTACCCTGAGGCGGAAATGTTTGTCCTTGTTGAGGCTGATGGGGAGAATGTAGAACCATGACGTACTCTTTCCTGTGAGCCCAGATACTGGATTCCTAAGAAACCACCCACGCACCCTCAAGGTTTCAGCACATCCCAGGCCCCTGTGGATTGTTCAAAAAATGGCCAGGCCAGATATCTGATCACTTCATAAGAAACAGTGACCCAAAGGCAAGCACCTTCCAGACCAGCGAGCGAGTGTACCTCTCTACCTCCGCCCCTTATCTGTGGTGCTCTAGAATGACAAGACCCCGTGAACCCCCTCCCCCTGATAACTCCGGGCAGCCTCCCTGAAGCAGGTCCCCTAGCAGGAACACTAGGTTATCCCAGAGTTTGGCTGGAAGGAGAAGTTCTGGGAAGGAGAGGCATGCTTGCCACAGCAGCCCCATGGTAACTGCACAACACAGCCCTTTCCCGCCCACAGGCCTGTCAGGCCAGCTCGGTGAAGACTGTGGGGCCAGCAGAGCTTGGAGGCCAAAGGCTGCAGGTGAGTCAGATGCCTGAGGGGGTTTCAGAAGAGGGCATCCATCCCACAAAGGATTGGGATGGAGAGACCTAAGCAAGAGGAGGCAAGTTGCCTCACAGGGCACCTGCCTCCAGGTCCATCTGGCCAAACCCTGGCCAAACAATTAGGTTCTGTACTTCTAGAGGGATCTGTGAGGGTGTCGGAGTTGGGTCTGTTCCTCTGGGCGATGGACTGAAGAAACCCAGAAACCATATCCCCGCTCTGCTGGTGAGGTCAAACGGGAGGGGGAGAGGGGAGTGGACTTAGTGCTCACTCAGTTAGCCTCCACCGTGACCAAGGGAACCCCAGGCAGAGGCTCCATGATCATAGACCAAGCCACCCTTCCCTTGCTTGTATCTCTAACAGCTCTTAACCATCTCCGAGCACCTAGTGGTCCACCCAGCCCCAATTTGATCTCCTTGTTCCAAGCATAAAATTAAGAAAGGGATACGGAGCAGCTAGACATGATGACATATGCCTGTAGCCTACTAGGGAGGTACTGAGCGTAGTAGCCTATAATCCCATCACTCAGGAACGGGGGGCAGGCAGATGGAGTTCAAGGCCAGCCTCAGCTACCTAAGTGAGCTGAGCCGGGCTGTGATTGCACCCGCGTTTGATCTCAGCACTCACAGGCACAGGCAGGCGGATCTTGGTGAGCTCCAGGCCAGCTTAGTGTATCTACACAGTCAGTTCCAGGACAGCCAAGGCTACAAAGATAAACTGTTTCTTGAAGAGACAGAGTCTGGAGGCCATGTGCGACATTGTCTCAAACATGGGCATGAGAGAGAGAGAGAGAGAGAGAGAGAGAGAGAGAGAGAGAGGAGGCTGGCTGTAGGGAGAACTCAGCCCATCAGCGAGGGTCATTCCTGAGTATGACTCTTTCAGCAGACAGGTCCATGGCTTGCAAGACTCTACCATCCGGGCGCCAGGAGGAGGACACTACCAAAGACCTGGCTCTGAAATTACCACCAGGGAAGTCTGGAAGTCACCTGGCCAGCATTGATGAGACCCGGCCTATAGGTCCAGGCCCAGCCTCCCGTCGTGGCTCCCTGCTGAGCATACACCCATCCTTCTCACGCCGCAACTCACTGGCCGGACCCTTAGCGGGTCCTGGAGGTCGGCGACCATCCCTGGGCCCAATGCCCCCTCTAGGTTCACGAGTTAGCTTTTCTGGGCTGCCCCTGGTGCCTGCCCGTAGGATGGCACCGTCATACCGCACAGAACCGGCGCCAGGAGAGCGCTGGGAAGCTGCCAGAGCCCAGAGTGTCCTGGAGGCGGCACTGGATGCCGAGCTGAGGGACGTGCGCTACTCCGGTACCGAGGCCGGGAAAGCGGCCCAGGCGCTGTGTGAACAGATACGCCTACGGGTGCGGGAGCTCAACCTGCCACGCTACAAACTGGTGTGCAATGTGGTGTTGGGGCCTCGCGAGGGGCAGGGCGTGCACGTGGTCAGCCGCGCCCTCTGGGACGCGCTACACGACGGACTGGCTTCTGCCACTTTCACCAACACGTCACTGTTCGCCGTGGCCACCGTGCACGCGGTTTACTGGGAATGATGAGACCTTCAAGTTCTGAAAAAATGGTTTATTATCTCAGGAGGACACCCCCCTGGGGCTCACATCCTAATAAATAAATGTCTGTTAATAAATAAAAGTGGTCCATAAATAATGCCCCCTAGTGGGAGCTAAGGCTCAGGCTTATCTCAGGGAGAAGGGTAGGAGACTGGGAGGGCAGGCCCTCCCCAGCTGTAGTAAAGCTGGTCCCTGATTCCCTGGGGGGAGGGGGTTCAGCCCGCAGCCCCCAGTGAGGCACCAAAGGGGCAGGAAGGGCCGGCCACAAAGACCAGGGCCAGAGCGAGCCTTTCCGGGCAGGCCTGGGCGCTGGGGCCCCGCCTGCTCTGCAGGTTGGAGCCTAGGCAGGGCTTCGGTCCCTGAGCAGACGCAGAGCGTAGCGCAGTCGCTGCCGCAGGTCCGGGGCGCAGCCCAGCTGCCGCAGGTGGGAAGCGAGGTAAGTGCAAGCCCTGCGGTTCCGAGCCACGAAAGTCACGAGGAGAGGCTCCCAGCCGCTGAGGATCAGCTTCGTGTGGTCGCCATAGAAGTTCACCTGTGCGCAGCCGGCACTGTTGATCAGGGCTCGGCCGCCACGCCCACACCCCTTCCCACAACCCTGGCCTGTCAGACCTCCCCCCCCACGGGAAGGGCTCTTACCTGGACAGTGCCGTCACTAAACAGCATGAGCAGCGCCTGGTCAGTCTTGACCCACTGCAGCAACAAGGGTGGGGCAGGCGCCTCGACCTCTTCCACGCTGGGCAGATCCCCGCCCTGGGAGAACAGGCAGGTCAGCTCACTGGGCCCGCAAGAGCCGGGTCTCTCCCTATGGATGTCTGTCTCCGAGCGCCCCCAGTCACTGACCATGGAGAATCGGAAGCGACCATTAGGCCCTACAGCCCCCTACGTGCACCGCGGCCCACCCACCTTCATGAGGTGCTGCTCCATGTAAGAGGCGAAGTAGCGCAGGATGCCCAGCTGAGGCTGCAGAGCGCGAGGTACAGAGCCCACAGGGAAGGAGAAGTGCTTCGTGTTGGTGGGGTTGTAGTGCACAGTCCTGAAAGCGGAAAGGCAGAGAGGGGATGGAGCCTGGCACCACCATTTCCCCCTCTGTGGATTTGAAACCTCAGACTCCCGGGCACAGAGGCACACACGGAGGCCACAATAGCCTAAACACAAAGCATGCCGAAAGAGCACTTACTTCCTGTTGGCCGACAGGGCCATGTGTGTGCCGTCGTTGAAGAGCACGGCCACACGGCGGCTGGACAGCTGGTACCCGAAGCCAAACTTGTTGGAGTAGTCAACCCACTTGCTGACCCACACCAGAGGCTCTGGCTGTGCCAACGGGGCTGGGTTCTGTTCCGCTGTCACAGGAGAGGAGGGAGTGAAGACTTTCCCCAGCCTCTATGTCCAAAGACTTGCCAAACTATTCACAAGAAGCAGAGCTCAGCCTTACCTGGGGGCATGAAGGCCACACAGTTTCTCAGTGCGCACAGGGCAGACTCCACCACAGTGGCCACAGTCAAACCTTCTTCAAACCCTGAAGGGAACAGGGAACTGACATTTAGGCAACAGCAGACCCAGCCCAGGTCGTGTCCCTCAGCCAACTACTTCCTTCCAGCCCCTGGCTTCCGCCCCAGCAACCCCTAGCACCTCTCATCTTCAGGCTCCTCACCATCTCCGCTGCTCGCCGGTGTCCCACGGGGTGAGCTGTCCTCAGCAGCTGTCTCTACCAAGCTGACAGGGGCCTGACCCGAAGCTGCCGGAGCCTGGACGGTTGGGTAGAGAGGGAGTGAGGTTAGGCCCCCAGATCCAAGTCCCTGAAAGACCAGTGGCCCATCCCTGTTCCTGGTGGCTCTCAGGGCACCTCAGGTCAGCCTCAGCTGGCTCATGAGACACAGCCAATTAGGCTACCACGAGGTTGGATGCTTCATCAGCCTTTTATGCTGGGCTTCCCTCAGCTGCTAGGGTCAGGGTGAGTCAGGGAAATAATGCTCAGGTGAGCACCTCACCTGGGGCCTGACATCTGGATGACCGATGGATGTGCGCATGAGGCCGCTCACCAAACAGGAGACGTTACCCTGTTCCTCAGAATGGTTCTTATCTGGGGACGAGGAAGAATACAGCCTTCAGTGTCCTGCCTGAACACATTTCCCAACACTTTCACACACAGGCAGGTCTCCCCAAGGGCCTAGACAGCACATACTCCCCCCCCAAGAGTCTGCAGACGCCCACGCCCTGGAACCACCCCCCCAACTGAACTGTAACAATCACTAAGACACTCTCCTGCCCTGCACCCTAACCCACTGACCCCTGACTCACTCTTGTTCTTTTTCCTGCCAAACAGGCTCTTGGTGACTTTGGCAAACAGACTTCTCGCAGGGTTGGGGGGTGTCAGGTCTGGGACTGTCACACAGCTGCTGACAGGGAGCCGGTCAGGGGTGTAGCCCTGAGGAGAGAGCCACACACAGGGAGAAATGAGACCCCAAGGGTCCTGCTCCTCTTGGTCCTTTAGGAACATGAGGACTGAACTCCTCCGGGGTCTGGAGAACCACGGACCTTCGTAAAGAAGTCGTGGCGCAGGATCTGTTCAATGGAGGGGCGGTCTCGGGGTGAGGCTCGGAGGACGGCAGCCAGGAGCTGACGGGCAGGCAGGGAGAGGCTGGCAGGCAGCGTGTAATGCACCTGCTTGATGCAGCGGTAGGTTTCCTTCAGGTCGGCTGTCTCAAATGGAGGGCTCCCACACAAGAGCGTGTACCTATGCCAGAGATGGGGGCTCAGGCGTGAGGCGGTGGGAACGCCCCATCCTCACACCCACCACCTGTCTGCCGAGGACTCCGGCACTCACATGACACAGCCAAGGGACCACACATCTGCCTCCGGGCCATGGCCCTGTCTCAGCAGCACTTCTGGGGCCACGTAGTTGGGAGTGCCACAGATGGTCCTGAAAAAGGGGAAGGCTCAGACCCAGCCCAGCTCCCGCCCCCATTCCTGCCCCTGCTGTGAGTCCAGACAAAGCAGCTGCCTGTCACCAAAGGCCAGAGAGCTCCTGCTTGTCTTGGGACAATGGATGCTGAGAATGGCAGCTGAGTCCTCACCCACCCATCTAGCCCAGCTGCTCAGCTGCTCTGAGGAACAGGAGGAGGCCCTGACCCCCATCACAGTCCCTCTCCCAAGGTCAACACAGAGGGTCCGAGCCTGATCCCTTCCCCCACCCCCATCTGTCAAACACTCACTGGGCCCTCACCTCCCACGGCACACAGCCGACACCAGCTGTCTTCCCCTCCACAAACACTCACCTGCCACACACGCTAGCAGTGTTACACACTCTGTCACCATGTTGACCACAGCAGGGTGCTCTCAGACGCACAGGGCCTGTCATCCTCACGCACATACATTGCCTGGGCTGTGTTTTCCCCCGCCCAACACAGGATCAGCCACACAGTTCCAAAAACACTAGACTCCCATGTCAGGGACTCCGGACACCCAGCCTCCACGGAACACATTCATTAGACGGTCGCTCTTCGCCTAACCCAGTAACGAGGCTGCCACCTTTACTGTCACACAGACAGACAGCCCATCGCCCCCTCCCCATGTATCCCCGTGCCCCGTACAGGCTGTGGCCACGACTCCCTCACTCACTTTTTCCTCTGCTCCGGGGGCTCTAACCGAGCCGCCAGCCCAAAATCCCCCACTTTCAGTTCCATGTTATCAGTGATGAAAAAATTTCCTAGACAGCAGCGGAGAGACGTGTCAGATTCTTAACTCCCTCCCTGACCTCCCCAAATCCCCAAGCTTCCGACCAGACCCAGGAATCTCACCCAGCTTGAGGTCTCTGTGCAAGATGCCCCTCTGGTGCAAGTACTTGAGGCCAGAAAGGATCTGGCGCAGGTAGTAGCGAACCTCTGGCTCCAACAGGGTGTGCCGGGCCTTCCAGATGTGGGCCAGGGACTGCAGAAAGCCACGGTTTCAGTCCCTGCTGGCCTTCCCAGACCCGCCCGCCAACTGGGTTTGCTAAGGATGACAGGAACCCAGCTTTGGATCTGAAGAATTCGCTTCCTCCCCCACCCCTCCCGGCGAATCCCCTCCCCCCAACTCCGGACCTTTCGGCTACAGAGCTCCAGGAAAATGTATATGTTGTCCGCGTCCTCGAAATGGTGCGAAAAGCGAACGATATGGCGGTGCTGTAGCTCTCGGTGCAACTCGATCTCGTTTAGGATCTGCGACAGGGGCGCGGGATCTTTATCTTGCCTGGGTTCCCACGCCACGCCGCCTCCCCCTCCCCACCCCTTGGTCCCCAGGGCCTGGACCCACCTTCTCGCGCTGATGCGGCTTGGCGACGCGGCTCTGCGGGATGACTTTGACCGCGTAGGCTTCCCCGGTCTCGGTGTCAGTGGCCTCATAGCAGCGGGCGAAGCCCCCCTAAGGAGGACACATCATCGGTCGGGCGCTCCGGGGAGGCCGGGTCCGGCCCGCCGAGCTCCCCTTCACCTCCGTCAGCGCCACCCCGGAGCCCCCGCCCCACCTTGCCCAGCAAGCGGCCCTTGACGTAGGTACGGCCGCTGCGAGGGTCGGCGATGAGGCGAGCGGGGTCCGGCGCCGGCGGCCCGGCCAGCCCCTCGGGCTCCGACCGCGGCGAGGCACTGGAAGGCGGCCCCGGGCCGGCGGCGGGCGAGGACGGGGCGGCCGCGCGCGGGAAGGGGCGCGGGGACAAGAAGCCGGCGGCGGGCTCCATGCGGACGGGGCGGCGCAGTGCCTGCCGAGCTGCCTCTCCGTTCCGCCCGGCCCCGGCCGCGCGTGGCGCTGCCTGGCTTCTCTACGCTGCGCTCGCGCCCCGGGGAGCCCGGCGTTTTTATCAATGAACGCCTGTCCCCTCCCCGGAGTCGCGTCACCGCGAACTCCGCCCCTTTCCTGGAGGCCGGGCTTAGGGAAGGCCACGCCCTCTACGCGGCCTTGCGTCACCTGAAAGATCATCCCTCCGCCCAGGCCGACTTCGAGGCCACGCCTACTTCTC